TTTGTGTTTGCAGCTTTGATGTGTCTCCTGAAGGCAGCATATGGTTGAGTTTTGTTTTTGATCCAATCTGCTACTCTGTGCTTCTTTTTTGGTGAATTCACTCCATTTATATTAGGGTAATTACTGATGTATGAGGATTTCCTTTAGCCATTTAGTCTTTTGCTTCCTGGTAGCTCTGTGCCTCCATCAGTTCCTTTATGTTTCTGTCGTTTTTGTTTGGTGGTATTCCATAATTCTTCCCTCTGTTTTCTCTTCTTGTTTAAGATATTTGTCTCAATTTGGATGGTGTGTGTGTGTGTGTGTGTGTGTGTGTGTGTGTGTGTTTACGATTAAGTTTATTAAAAAGAAAGTTTCATTATATACAGTTCTTTTTCTTTAGAATACATCTGACTTCTAGCCTTCTTTGCAAATTCATTCCTTACCCCCACCCCTTTTATGTTTTTGTTGTCACAAATTATCCCTGTTTATTCTGTAAGATTTTTTGTGATTTTATTCATAGTATTGTAACCTTTTGTTCTTTGTTTCAGGTAACATAACACCCTTGAGTATTTCCTGCAGTGGAGGTATTCTGGTGATAAATTTTCTCAATTTCTGAATTTCTGGAAATGTCTTTTTAAAAATATATTTTTTTAATTAATTTTTGAGAGAGAAGTAGGGAGAGGGGGAAAGAGAGAAACATTGATGTGAGAGCCCAACATCCATCAGCAGCCTCCTATATGCCCTCTACCAGGAATTGAGCCTTCAACCCAGCATGTGCCCTTGACTGGGAATCAAACCAGCAACCATTTGGTGAATGGCATGATGCCCAACCAGCTGAGCCACACCAGGTAGGGCAGAATATATTATTCTTGGCTGGTAATTTCTCTTTTTCATCGTTTGAATATTTGGTTCCACTCTCTTCTGGCTTGTGGAGTTCCTGCTGAGAAGTTTGATGATAACGTAATGGGCTTTCCATTATGAGTTCCTTTCTTTTCCTTGGTGCCTTGAGAATTCTTTGTCATTAATTTTTGACAGTTTTAATAATATGTGCCTTGGAGAAGGCCTCTTTGGATTGAGGTAAGTAGGTGTTCTGTTTGCTTCTTGGCTTTGAGGATTTGACTCTTTCCATAGGTTTGGGAAACTCTCATCAACTATTTGTTTGAATAGGTTCTCTGTTCCCTTGTCCATTTGGAATCATTCTTGGAACATAGTATTGAACATAAGTAATTCTTTAATGAATGAATGAATCCCTTAACATTTAGATTTTTCAAATAAATTATTCAGCAGTTGGCTAAAATAAAAACTATGGAGACATTTAATAATCCTATATAATAAAAGCCCAGGAACAATAACAGCTTAACGACCAGAATGACTGCTTGACCAGTCGCTGTGAGGTGTATTGACCAGCTCTCAGTCCCTTCCCCTCCCACGCCCCGGCCCGCAGGCTCTGATCACAGGATGGCGAGTGGGGAAACACAGGGATCCCGAGGGGGTGGCGGTATGGCTGGACTAGGGACTGGCGAGCGGGCGGGATGGCCGACCTCTTGGTCCCACCCTTTGTTCTGCAGGCTGTAATCGAAGGATGGCGAACAGGAAACCACAGGGAACCGGGATGGGTGGCGGTGGGGCGGGACTGGGGATTGGCGAGCGGGCATGGGGGATGTGCAGGAGGCAGCTGATCGATGTTTCTCTCTCATTGATGTTTCTCTCTCATTGATGTTTCTAACTCTCTGTCTCTCTCCCTTCCTCTCTGTGAAAAATCAATAAAATATATTTAAAAAAATATATATTATCTTGATTTATCACTTTTTGCTAATCTTAACATTTATTTATTAATTCTAATTAAAATCATCAACCCTTTATACTAGTTAGAACTAAAGAAGAACATCTGAATCGAAGAGTGAGAGAACCTGGGAACCTGAGGCCTCGCTGAGACTCCCAGAGGTCATTATTTCTGTGTGACTGTGGGCGAGAAAAATCCACGGTTGCTTCTGATGGCTTCTTGAAGTGCTTCCTCCAGTCTTTCCATTGTAGAATATTTAGGAAGGTCCAGAATACTATGACACACGAGTGCTCTTGGGTAATCTCTTTCACTCAACGTTTCAGGACAGCGAAATCTGATTCTCATTTCTTGTAATCCTCTTGCAGTCTGCCTATCATTTCCTGTAAGAAAAACTGGAAAGGAATCTTTGGTTAAGATATACCTTAGTGCCCGGCTCGCGTGGCTCAGTGGTTGAGCATCGACCTAAAAACCAGGATGTCATGGTTTAATTCCTGTTTAAACACATGCCTGGGTTGCGGGTTTGATCCCGTGTGGGGAGTGCAGGATAATTCTCTCTCATCATTGATGTTTCTATCTCTCCCTTCCTCTCTGAAATCAATAAATACATATTTTTAAAAAAGATATTCCTTAGGAAGAACAAAATTTAAAATGAAAAGAAATTAATCACTTAATTCGGTAAATATTTATCAAATACTCTTGTGTGGAGAGAACTACCTGGGACTATGGGGAGCATAGAAAAATCATGACATTTGGTCTTTGTCCTCAGTAAGTTCATGGTCTAGTTGGGGGGAAATTACATAAGGTTGCTCCTTGAACAGCATGGGTTTAAACTATGTGGGTCTACTTACATGAAGATACTTTTCAAAAATACTGTAAATGGATTTTCCTGACGATTTTCTTAACATTTTCTTGTCTCTAGCTTACTTTATTGTAAGAATACAGTATAATATATATATATATATATATATATCTGTATATAAAATATAGAAAATATGTGTTAGTAGATTGTTTATGTTATCAGTAAGGCTTCTGGTCAACAGTAGGCTATTAGTAGTTAAGTTTGGAGGGAGTCAAAAGTTATACAGAGACTTTCCATTGTGTGTGTGGCCTGGAATCAGTGCCCCTAACCCCCAGGTCGTTCAAGGGCCAACAGCACATGAAAAGATAATAGCAAGGTACAGGGAGGTTTATTTTAGCACAACCAAGAAGTATGAGGTGAAGAGTCTGATGAAAGCCCTAAGACTGAGGGCAGGGAGAGAAGGGCCAGGCTGGGGTAACTAGGAGACTTCACTGAGGTCACATCTGGCTAGTTGAGTGGCGTGGGGAGGAATCCTAAGGAAAAATGCCTGAAATAGGGAGATATACATGAGCTCACTGAATGTACGGACATGAATGTACAGATAATGGAACCACTGGGCTGAAGTACATGTTTCCCATTAAGGGAGCATACTGGAAAGGTAGTTTGGGTTTGTGGAAAAGAAGGCTGGGTTTGTGGAGAAGTTGTAATTGTCCTCCAGCATCCTCAGTAGCAACAAAAAGAGCAAGAAGAAAGAGGAGCTGAAAAATGGGATAAGGAGGTAAGAGAATGTCATTGTGTGCTGTAGGGAAACTTTAGGGTTCCCTCTCGGAAAAGTTTGTGTAGCCCAAGGACACAGAGCTTAGTGGTCAATAGCCTGGGCTTTGGATCAGCCTGCTGTGTTCAAATTCCGGTTCTGACACTAACCAGGTATCTGAACATAGGAAGCTACTAAACGTTCCAACCCTCTTTTTCCTCACATGGAGAAAATAAGTACCTACCTCATAAGGTTGCTATTGGGATAAAGGGTGTTAATAGATACAACGTGATCAGTACAATGGCTGGCATAGAGTAAGCACACAATAAATGCTGTTATTATCATCAGTGGTCATTGCTACTATTATTATTTCTAAAATAATATTAGAGGCAGTTTACATTGTCCTAATTGCATGGGACTTGATTATTAACTGAAGTTAAGATAAAAAGGCTTAATGTGGAGCAAGCTAGAATGAGGAAAGTGGATGCAAACTAAAATTGGAGGTGGGACTAGAGTCAGTGTAGAGAAGGTAGTAAAATAGTGATATTTTTAGAAGGAACCTTGGAGCATAGAGCAGAAGGAATAAGACTTTGTTTTACTCCCAGTTTCCTAGCTGCAGACAGGATCATATTTTAAAAACACTAAAACATTCCATTTTCCTGCTTAAAATCTTTCACAGGCTTCTCAAAGGCTGAGCACAACCTCCACAGCAGGATCAAAAAGCCCTCCATGATCTGACCGTTACCCTACTCTCCAGCCTCTTCCCACTTCCATTTGAGTCTCTGGCCTCCCTGTCTCCCTTGTAGTTAGGCCATAGCATGCAGTGCTTCCCCCTTTCCTAGCAACTTTTATCACTCATCAATATGAGTATGTCTTTCTCAGGGTAGGTCCTCTGTCCCTCTTTCCCTCCACACTGACATGTCATTGTGTGAAAATTATTTATGCTGCCTGTCCTCTCCACTACGTGAAGAATTTCCTGATGGCAGGGTTGCTACTGGAGGTATTTCCACCAGAAACATGATAGTCTCCCTCCCCTTGAGCATCCTTCCTGGACTATCCTATCTATATCAATCCCTCTCTGCCCTCCCCGGTAACCCATGGCATGCTGGTAAATGTTTAAAAATCAGTTATCCGAAGGGAAAGAGAAAAAGGAAATGCTCGTTGGTAGCATTCGCCAATTTCTGTGGTGTAATATTCCCACTATGGCTGATTTCAAGCTACAAACACTTTAATAATAAACTGTGAACATTTGTGAACAATCAAATCAGCTCTCACAAGCTGGTACCAGCTGCCTCTAGCATACCTCAAACCTGTAACTCTGGTCTCTTAATTGGATTTAATTTTCTTCAGAGTACTTTTCCGACATTCTATTACATAGTAATCTATTCTTGTATTATCTTTCGGTCCTACTGGAATTTAAGCTCTATATTTTGTCTGTCTTTTTCACTGCTATATCTCCATCACCTAGAATAGGGTCTAGTACATAGTAGGGGCTCAAAATAATTGTTAAATGAATAACTAGTGAAAAGTGCTACAAAGGAAATATTTAATTCTGACTCCTTTCTTCTCTTTTCTTACCCTATAACTGTTTTGTCTTTCTAAAAGATGAGGAACTAAAATGATCATTTGAGAAGCTAAAATACATTTATAAAATAAAGTGACAGAAACATTTTATGTGTATTCAAAGCATATGTTCTAGGTCTCAAAACTTACTTGTTGGTTTGGTCCACAAGTATAGAGATCCCATTTGGAATTAAATCAACATTATGTTGGTCCCATCGTAGCTGTAATATATTCAGGTAGCAAACATGAAAGAAAGTCTCAATAATCAACCATATTACCATTATTGCCAATTACCGGATATCCAAAAAATGCATACACACTTTAACAGCTAATAGCTCAATTGATGTTTCTTTCTTTTCAGATTTACTCCATTGGAATGAATAATTATTCAAAGTGTGTATACATTTTTTTGGGACATTCTGTGTTCTTCCCTAAGAAAATTTAAATAACTGGGAGCTAAATAATTATTTATGCAGTTCAGCCTTTTAAATACTAAAAGCATTTTAAAACCTACCCTAGTATATGTGGCAGATTGCTTTTAAGCATGCATTGATCCATTTAGTGATTTACATAGATTGAATAATCACTTGTATTTTCACTTTATTTGTGAGTACGAAGACATAAGGTAAAAAATGAGGAGCAGGTAGAGAGAAAGTCTTATAGTAGAGAAGTAAAGTACCATTCAAAAAAGGAATCCCAGATTTGAGATATTATAATAAAACTAAAGGCCCTGTGTATGAAAATTCATGCACTGGAGGGGGATCCCTCAGTCCAGCCTGCCCCCTCTCACAGTCTGGGAGCCCTCAGGGGTGGTAGGTGACCCGGCGATCAGGGGAAGGCGACGCCACATCACACCTCTGCAGTTGCCACTGCTGGCAGCGCAAGCCAGAGCCGGCCCTGGTTACCTGAGCCTCGGGCGGCCCTGGGTGGATGGGTGGCTGAGGGGACGGGGGGACTCTGGAGGCAGGTGCTCCGGCGGGGCTGAGGAGACTGGGCGCTGCCATCTTTGAGGGCATGACAGTCAATTAGCATATTCCCTCCTTATTGGCTGTGGGCGCCACCATCTTTGGGGGTGTGACAGTCAATTAGCATATTACCTCCTAATTGGCTGTGGGCACCACTATCTTTGGGGGTGTGACAGTCAATTAGCATATTACCTCCTAATTGGCTGTGGGCACCACTATCTTTGGGGGTGTGACAGTCAATTAGCATATTACCTCCTAATTGGCTGTGGGCACCACTATCTTTGGGGGTGTGACAGTCAATTAGCATATTACCTCCTAATTGGCTGTGGGCACCACTATCTTTGGGGGTGTGACAGTCAATTAGCATATTACCTCCTAATTGGCTGTGGGCACCACTATCTTTGGGGGTGTGACAGTCAATTAGCATATTACCTCCTAATTGGCTGTGGGCACCACTATCTTTGGGGGTGTGACAGTCAATTAGCATATTACCTCCTAATTGGCTGTGGGCACCACTATCTTTGGGGGTGTGACAGTCAATTAGCATATTACCTCCTAATTGGCTGTGGGCACCACTATCTTTGGGGGTGTGACAGTCAATTAGCATATTACCTCCTAATTGGCTGTGGGCACCACTATCTTTGGGGGTGTGACAGTCAATTAGCATATTACCTCCTAATTGGCTGTGGGCACCACTATCTTTGGGGGTGTGACAGTCAATTAGCATATTACCTCCTAATTGGCTGTGGGCACCACTATCTTTGGGGGTGTGACAGTCAATTAGCATATTACCTCCTAATTGGCTGTGGGCACCACTATCTTTGGGGGTGTGACAGTCAATTAGCATATTACCTCCTAATTGGCTGTGGGCACCACTATCTTTGGGGGTGTGACAGTCAATTAGCATATTACCTCCTAATTGGCTGTGGGCACCACTATCTTTGGGGGTGTGACAGTCAATTAGCATATTCCCTCTTTATTAGATCCTATCTAATAAAAGAGAAACATGGTAATTAGCGTACGACCGCTACCCTTCCCATTGGCTAATCAGGGCGATATGCAAATTAACTGCCAGCCAAGATGGCGGCCGGCAGCCAGGCAGCTGGAAGCGAACATGAGGCTTGCTTGCTTCAGTGA